GCATACAATTATTCACTGCAGAAGATAAATGCCATGACCTTTAAGGTGACCAGTGATGTTCAGCCAGTCAAATTACCTTATTCAAATGTGATTAGGTTTCATTATTGAATTGTTCGGGGGTACTTTTATCCAAAGCATCTTACATAACTAACATAATGGTTCTAACTATTTATCAAAGTGTATCTTTTAAGATACGATAATATAATATGAACTTTGGATTATGTTTATAGATCCCAGGGGGAATCAATAAATGTTTTCAGATTAAGAAGAAAAGTTGCTTTCTTTCCTAGCAGCTGAGCTCACTACTTTTGTTAGCCAGTGACAGTTACCTTTAAATCTGTGTCTGTATTGACAGATACACTCTGCTGCACCTGACCATTCAGACAGAAGGCTGATCATTTTTGAGGACTGCTATCTGTCTGGTCACCAGGAGTCGCCATGACAGCACCTCTTTATAATCTGATCTCCAGGCTGGTCATGCACATGCTTCAGTGCTTTAGAAGCTTTTTATAATGAAGAAAAGATTCGCAGAGAAAATCAAATGGTTGGTTGGTGTTATTTTAGCTCTACCATTATCATACTGTAATTATGGTGGGAGTCTCTGTGTCTTATCCTTCCTATTACTTTTACACTTGGTGGTTGCATAACAATGATTTGCTCATGCACTTGTTCCCCTTCCCATTGTTACTGCATCATATCAGTATGAAAACACATCCATCCATCCATCCATCCATCCATTCACCCATCCACCCACCCATCCATCCATCCATCCACTCACCCATTCACCCATCCACCCATCCATCCATCCACCCATCCATTCACCCATCCATCCATCCATCCATCCATCCATCCATCCATCCATCCAATGTAATTCAAATCCCGAACTGGGAAGGTGTGGCACTGTACCATGACCCAGCCACATCTGATGCAGTTTAACTGAATTCTTCATTGTTTTTTTAGGAATTGACTGCAGAATGACGGCTCTGCGCACTGAGCACAGACACAGGCCCAACACTGCAAGGAGACTCCAGACTAATGTGGCATCAACTTCACAGTTAGACTGCAGGCCATTAATGGTGAACAGCTGAAGTGTGAGAACAGCAGACGGCGGGGAGGAAGAGTCTCTCAGGCCTAAACATGCTCGGACATCATTGATACGCAGCACATGATTACAGGCTGTAGCTGTGGTGGGCAAGCGAATGATTAGCAGAAGCAAACTGGCTGCGTGTCGCCCAGCCTTCTTACCATTGATGCTTGGGACTGGATCCCACCCCCATGATGCACCACTGGATAAGCAGTTACAAAGTTGAGGAATTACATGATTTTAATTGTGTGGGCAGTACATGTAGTCATAAACTACACCAATTACACCAATTAGGGGAAACCATACAGCAAAGGGGATCTAAAGTACCCTAACCCAGATCGTTTGATTTTAATTTGGTGTTAATTTTGTTATTATCTTGCTGGGACCATCAGTCTGATGCTGCTTTTCACACCTAATCTCCAGGTGAAGGGGCTAATTAACAACCCCCCCTGTAAATTGTGATGTCAGGAGACAGCATTCTGCCAGCTCCAGTTGCTAATGGAGTTCCTGTCATTGGCTTTCAATGTCAGATTTTGAAAATAAGTAAACAAGCAAACAAACAAACAAATGTGAGAAAGTTACATGGACAAATGTGACAGATTAGGGTATGTGATATATTTTGGTTCCCTGCTTCCCTTCGTTCTTGGGCTCATCGCAGTGTCACAGGGTCACAGCTTCTGTTCATGAATAAGGCGTGTCGCAAGAAGCAGTGGATCAGACATCTGTGGTCTTACATATCTGCATGATAATATTCTACATCCATTCTGGAAAAAAGCAAAGGGGAATCCAAAAATACTACTGAAATTGAAGGCTATGTATCATTCCTCTTGTAAATTTTAAGTCTCCTGAATTTCCTCTGGGGCCATGAGGTAACTGAATATATGATCTGGGAATGATCAATGGTCCTTCTATCCTAGGAGCAGTGATGTATATTTAACAGTGCTTAATGAACTGCAGTCCGCCTGTGCATTATTAATGACATTTGTAGCTTTCTTTACACATAAGTCAGTAGGCCATTTGCTTAATGAAAGCTGCAGGACCCTCAGGATAGGGTAGTGTTCATTATTATCTCGGATGATTGTCTTAAATAAGCATTTCAGTGAAGATTTTTTTTCTACATGAATTAAGCACCTGTGCCGTACCCATCAGACTAGTGCAGTATCTCAGTGGCACCTAGCTGCTGTATGACACATTCAGTAAAAGCTAGACATTAGAACACTGAGTGGCCTTTTACTGGTGCCTCAGCTTGATGTTGTATCTGCAGAGTGCAGCACATTTCTTTTAGGAAGCATATTTTCTGAGGCCGGTGAAATGATTTGATAATAATTTGGTAATGATTTGCATAGACGCTGAACCCTTTTTTAAAATCAGTTACAGGTGCAACTGATGGAAACTGCTATACTGTGGTGCTCTGGTTATCCTGCTCTGGTTATCCCACTTTGGTTATCCTGCTCTGGTTATTCTGCTCTGGTTATCCCACTTTGGTTATCCGATGCACTGTACTACGAAGCGGGGTTACTGGCTTATCGGGGTAACTTGCCGATTTTAAGGTACCACAGTTTAAATGGACTTCATATTCGTTCACTTACATTTTGCTCAGACTACCTTAAATCCAACAAGTTACCCCGATAAGCCAGTAACCCCGCTTTGTAGTACAGGCCACTGGTCTGTTTATCCTGCTCTGGTTATTCTGCTCTCTTTATCCCACTCTAGATATCCTGGTCTGTTTATCCTGCTCTGGTTATCCTGCTCTCTTTATCCCACTCTAGATATCCTGCTCTGGTTATCCAGGGGCCTGTACTACGAAGCGGGGTTACTGGTTTATCGGGGTAACTTGTCGGATTTAAGGTAGTCTGGGCAAAATGTGAGTGAACAAATATGAAGTCCATTTAAACTGTGGTACCTTAAATCCGACAAGTTACCCCGATAAGCCAGTAACCCCACTTCGTAGTACAGGCCACTGTTCTGGTTATCATGCTCTGATTATCCCGCTCTGGTTATCCTGTTCTGTTTATCCAGCTCTGGTTATCCCACTCTGGTTATCCCACTCTGGTTATCTTGCTGTACATGACTGCCAAGACCTGCTTTTGTTATCCTGCTCTGGTTATCCCGCTCTGGTTATCTTATGCAAAAAGCTTTGCTGCTGCTTGAGGGCTATGTCTTACTAGCAAGATACTGATGCAGCCACAAACTTCTTAATACAGACCTAAACCAATGAGATAGTGAGGCTGGTATTGAGGAAACTAGCAGATGAACTACAATCTCCCCCTTTCTAATATTAGGGAGGGATAGACACCGGAGCTGCCAGTGACACCAGGGTCACCAATCTGATGAGGGAAAAATGAATGCAGTGCACATTAGTGTGAGTATCTGGCCCTTGATCTGCTCTGTACCTGGTGGCAAAGTGGGTTGGACAATTTCCTGATGCCCAGCAAAAACCAAAGGCTGAATTTTGTTAGCCTTTAAATTGATATGGTTCTCATACAGTATGTGTCCTTTGTAGGGAAATGTATTGTAGGCAGTCTGTTTCTTGTCAATGCATGAAGTGCATTAGTGTCTTCATGAGCACCAAATGCTTTCAAAATAAGTTTGTGTGTGGAAACGGAGGGGTGTGTGTGTATGTGTGTGTGCTGGATATTATGTGAGTAAACAAAGCAGAAGATATGACATTAGGACTGGACAAATGTTCAACACACCCTAGCGGTCCAGTAAATTTTAGCTTTCCTCCTCACAGACGGGGTCTATAAGAATTACCGAGCGACTGACAGTCTCTGAAGGATCTGTCTTTGATCTTTTCAAGCCAAGCTTCTGCAGCATCACGCCTAAGAGATGTGAAGGGGCAGGTCACATCAAGAATGACAGAATTGACTTTGATTTATCCCTGTGACCCAGTATTGCATTAAATGTTGGAAGGTGGATGGATGTGTAGCTAGTATCTAATACTTCCCAAAAATCATTTGCATCATAATTAATAACTCGCCAATTGATGTATAAAAATAATTTAATGTGTTATGGAGAGACGCTCACTGGAGATAGCCGTGCCGAGATGGTGCCTTACTGCAGGATTAAAAAAGAAGCAGTTTTACCTTTTTCAAGTGTAAGCGGCTTTAATCGATCTCTAGACAAATTATCCTGGTCTACAGTTAAATCCATTTACTTCCCTCCCCTCAGTTCAAGCAGAGGGCTGAGCTTATAAAAAGCCTGGCATATTTTTAAAACAACACAACACTGTCCTTTTGTTACATAAAGAATCCCTGTTGGGCATCAGAAGTGTAGTAAAGCGTTGTCATGTCAAAGCAGCCAAGGACACTCCAGAAACAGCTGGAGTAAAGCGTCTGGAGGCTTAATAGTCGGAATTCGGTGTGAAAAGTGACATTTTTTATTTAGTAATAAAAGGGCTGCCACTTCTGGTCAGCTGGCTGAAGTGAGATTTTCAATCTGAGGCAAGTCTGCACACACATGCACTCACATTTACATGTATGTAACAGTTTTATTACCTTGTAAATAGTCTGAAGGGTTTGCAAACTACCCGTCACTTTTGATGTAGCTAATTTGAGGTTTATAATGGAATAATATAGATTTGCCGTAAGATTTCTTGCATGAGTGTGAGTCTGAAAGCCTGAGTGTCACGCCAGATGTGCGAGAGCTGGCAACCCTGTAATAATGTTGGTAACTCCTTCTGTTCACAGACAACTGAAGTAAATCTCCAAAACATCAAAAATAAAGACAGTGGATAAGCATTTCTGAAGAAATACATCCTGTCTGCCTTTGACACAGCAGTCAGAGTTAGTGTGGCTCTCTATGAGTCAGGCTTCTCCTCCCTTATGATGCCTGGCCTCCTAATCTGTGACTGAGCCTCAGAGGCTCGTCCCCCCCCCACCTCCACCCATCCAGGGATTCCACTGCCTCCACTCACCAGGACTCGCTGTGCTCTGCAGGCTGCCTCGCTTCCGGAAAGGGGACTTGGGCTGCGATCGGCCCTGAAGAGGGTGAGTGGACATGGTCCTGCTGGTGGGACGGAGGATGTATGAAGGCAAGCGAAGTCCCCAGGACGGAGCAGGCGGAAGGCAAGGCTGGGTGCTGTGCTGGGTCTGTTAAGGATGCTCGGACTGGTTCTCGTGCTACTGCTGGGTTGGGTACCAGTGAGGTGTGGGAGGCTGCCATGGAAACAAGCCGCAGCCTCGGGCTGGTCAGCTCCTCCTCCCTCCCGCCCCTAGGTTTCAGTGTTTGTGTGTGTGTGTGTGTTTGTGTGTGTGTCTGTGCGCGTGAGTGTGGGCGGAGGCTAAGGAAAGACCGCCCTCTGGTTCCTTCGGTTGTGCCTGTCGTTGCTCTGGCAACGGTAGAGCAGAGTGATGAGAGACGGGGCCTGAGAGAGCAGCTCCCACGTCTGGTGGCAGAGCACTGGGTATGGGGGGGGCGACAGGAGGGCAGGAGAAAGGCAGATGGGCAGGGGGCAGTTCTTAGGCTCAGTCGGAGATCAAAAATAAAAAACCTGCATAGGAAACAACCCAGGGAACTGAATGGGAACTGAGAAGATTTTTAAAAAGAGCTCATCTCAGACACAGGGGCTAAGCAGACACTGTGATTTAGGGCATGGAAGGCGTCCCCAGCCATGCCGATCTATCCACAGCATTCCTAATCCTTAATAAATACATGCATAACCTGGAAAAGTGTATGATGCTCTATGCAGCATTCTCAAGCACCGCACCCCATGGCATTATACCGGTAGCCATGATGGGGTGAAAAGACCTTTCTTCATTTTAATAAAAACGGATACCGAACAAACGATAACAAATGCCAGATTTGTCGCTATAAAGATGAACTTAGCTGAAATTTAATCATGCAAAATCTTACTATAGTGTAGTGTTGTAATACGTCTGTGGAACCGTGTTCATCTCCCTCCAGAATGACTGGTGAAGGTGACATCGTCACTTTATGAGCCGGATGTTCATTCACTCAGGCTGTAACAGGTCACTTCCCTCAGATGATGATCTTAATTTCCAGTCCCCCCCCCCCCTTTATTTCTCTTCACTATTTCACTCTCACACTCTCTTCCACATGGGAACTGAAGTATGAGGTCAGTGTGGCCCAGCAGCCATAAGAGAAACACCTTTAGAATGCATCTCCTCTTACCTAAGTGACCCTCAAATTCTGCTCCATACCTTATTCCAAGCACCCAGAGCCTGAGTGCCTGTGATCAGAAGGTTGGTGGTTTCAGTCGGGCAGAACAGTCCCATGTCTGTGGGCCCCGAGAAAGGCCCTTAACCCGCAGCTCCAGGGGCTCAACACGCTAGCTGACCATCCACTGTGACAATCAAGCTTGCTCCCTCTGTGTGTCTCATGGAGAGCAAGATGGGGTAAGTGAAAAGAGAATTTCCCCATGGGGATTAATATAGTATATATTCTAAAATAGACATTGTAACTTAACCGAAAAATGTCAGAATGTGCTACAAGAAGTAAAAGCAGATCGTCTGCGGTCTGGCAGTGGTGTGCATTCTGGATGATGTGTCATCAAATGCTTTTTTCTGAAGCGAGACATGAGATCACTTTAATAGCCATACTTGAGAAAATTTGTGGACGACTCACCTGAGGGGTTCCAACAAAAAAACTCCAACTGAAGAAAAGGTCATACGTTCTTTGTTTAGATTTTTTTGTGCTATTGCACAAACTGAAAAATAAACGCAAAAACCAGCATAAAAACAAACACAATTTGAGAACAAATGTGCAACTCCCACAACAAGAAATGTGAAAGGTCTCCCTCTTGTGGCAAAAAATCTAATTGCCCTCACAGCTGATATTACACAAATATTTCAATAAAATATTACATTCATTCATTCATCTTTGATACCTCTTGATGTATACAGGGTCATAGGGGGTACAAAGCCAGTCCTGGAAACAACAAGCACAGGGCAGAGAATGACCGAGGGTGGGGCAATATTTAATGAAATGGATTCAATGTATTAATACCAGTTAGTGGCAGCGCAGTGGCAGAGTGGTCAGCACTGTCGCCTGACACCTGGGGCCAAGGTTCCATGTGTGTGGAGTTCATGTTCTCCCCGTGTCATTGTGGGGTTTCCTCTGGGTTCTCCAGCCTCCCCCCACAGTCCAAAAACATGCCGAGGCTGATTGGAGTTACTAAATTGCCCGTAGGTGTTCCTGTGTGAGTGAATAGTGTGTGAGCGTTCTCTGTGATGGGATGGTGCCCCATCCTGGGTTGTTCCCTGCCTTGTGCCCTGTGATGGGTTGGTGCCCCATCCTGGGTTGTTCCCTGCCTTGTGCCCTGTGATGGGTTGGTGCCCCATCCTGGGTTGTTCCCTGCCTTGTGCCCTGTGATGGGTTGGTGCCCCATCCTGGGTTATTCCCTGCCTTGTGCCCGTAGCCTCCGGGACAAGCTCCAGACCCCCCACGACCCTGAAGGAAGGAATAAGAATTTTATGTATTTTTAGGAAGAACTGGAACAAAAGACAGCTGCATTGATGTCAGCACAAAGGAGAAAAACACAACACACAGAGACAAAAAAGGCATCGGGGTTACAGACTCAGGCACCTGAGTCTGGGCGCATGTTCAGGGGCAGACAGGGAAAAAGGCATGTCACCTCACCTGGGCCTGCACATCCACATACCTACACCTGCACATCCACATACCTACACCTGCACATCCACATACCTACACCTGCACATCNCTGCACATCCACATACCTACACCTGCACATCCACATACCTACACCTGCACATTCACATACCTACACCTCCACATCCACATACCTACACCTGCACATTCACATACCTACACCTGAACATTAATGCCTGCACATTCACACCCCCTTCCTGGGTGTAGAAGTCCTTGTAAGAAAGTAGCTGCATGTCCTTACATCTGGATCTCATTGTTTTTATGGGATGGCATTCGCAATGCCATGTGATCTCCTGCTACACAGCGGGCTGTAGCCCTGCAGGTGCCCCTGTCCGCCCATCCATGGTGATGTTGTGTCTGGCATGGCAGTGCATAGCCACCATATTCAGCTTTAGAAAAATGACTTTATTTTCGTAATGCACACTTTTGCCAAAGGTTTTAAAGCTGACCGAAGATGCCCAGTAAAGTGAAATCATTGAGGGTCAGAACCTCCCGCAGCAGTAGGTACAGGTACCTGGTTACTCTCCTGGCTCCTGGGCCTTGCGTTTGGATGTCATTCATGCTAAATTATTATCTGAAGACACCAGCTGTAGTGCCTTGATCATTTATAAGGACACAAAGGTTTCAAAATTCAAGTGAATGAACTCAGCTGTCTGTACAGGTTCTCCTCCATCATTGTACCTAGTGCCTGTTAGCAAAATATTACCATCTGGCAGCATAATCTGAGGCCTACTGAGGTTGATCTGTGACCATCTTGTAATCTTGTCATCAGATCAACAGTACTGGGCCTTTCCCATGGTGCAGTGGGAGAGGCAGGGGGTCGGCTAGAGAGCATAATGGGATTGGGGCTGATGAATAGGAAGATGCCCTGATTAGCTTGCTATGTTCCTCCTGGAAGCATTTAGAGATTTGAATCCCTTACAACTGCCATTGGCAATAAGACCATCTGCCCACTTGAAGAAACGGGGATTTACTTATGTGCTTCTTCTTGTTTTGCTGCAGAGTGGGTTTGGGATTACCAGCAATATTTTAAGAGCAACATTCAGGCTGAGACCCCCCTCCCCCCCGGTTGAGGAATGAACCACACCTGTGCAAGACGCCCCCCGCCCGCCAGTATATGACAGGTTACAGACACATACCCTGTACCAGCAGGTGACATGGCTGCATCAGGAAAACTCTTCTCTGTTCAGCCTTCCTGTACATATTTTGGATTATGGAAATGCAATAACCATTGTCCGGGCCCCTAAAGGGGGTCTGTCGGAGTCCTGGACTAACATTCTCACCATTGGGTTCTAGGGTTCTATTTCCACAGAACCTTAGACATGGGCGTAAATTATGGGGGGAATGGGGGGGCTGTATCCCTCCCAATAAATCAAAACCAGCTAATACAACCCCCCCCCCCCCCCAAAATCATATTTCCCCCCCAATGGGTGGGGGCCTCAACCCCCCCAATGTTCCAGCCAAAGTTACGCCCTTGACCTTAGACTTCTGTCACAAGTGTTTAAGACACAAAGCAAATTTAGCAGCTGCTGTCACTAATAGCTATTTTATTGCTCAGCGCCACCCTATAACGCCAATGTATAATGTGCTTACTAATTGGGGTATTGCATAAAGTTTTGGGGTCATTCATAATTTATGAGGAATACAGTTTCACACACTCATAGGCACATTTTCATAAATTATTTATATGCCGCTTTTGTAATGTGGTTTTTATGCACCCATTTAGTAAAAGTGTCCAGTCGAATTTTACAAATGGGGCTCTTGGCTTCTATGTCGTCTGAGACCAAACCAAATGAAACAACATACATCTTCCTGCTTGGAACAAAACATACAGATACACCAAGAGGCCAAATGTTCAAAGGCAAAAAGGACACAAACTTGGTTTGTTTAGTCTACCAAGGATTACGATAAGCTAAAAAAGAGCAATCTTTCTTTTGCAGCACGTTTTAAATACCATCCACAAAACAGAGATGTGTGTGTGTGTGTCGGGGGGGGGGGGCATCACACCATTTTGTACACCATACATCCAGGATCAACAGATACATGTATAGTTTATTTAAAAAATAAAAAAAAAAACATTATTCAGAAATCTATAAATATATGCATGCACTTCTGCATTTTCAGTACTGATTTTTGTCGCCTGTACAATGCAAAAAGACATGAGACATGGTTTTTTATTCAAGATTCAGTCATTTCTTTCGAATGTCATTTGGTGTCAGACTGCAGAGTAAGCAGCATGCAGCTGGAGTTACGGTCGACTTCAAAGCCCCAGCACTGGTGTGATTAATATACCGATCAGAGGATCCACACAGTCAGCCTTCCCTTCCATACCAGTCCAGTCAGCTACATACTGCCCCCTCAGGCTGCTGGGGAAGCACACAGGCATAGGGGCAATAAAAATGAGTCAAATTCATTAAGAAAACAAAAATGTATTTATTTATTTATTGTAACATTTTTTATGCATTTTTCTTGAACTTGTAGACTTTGTGTAGGAATGCTCCATCTCACCACAAAGTAAAGTGGCTCTTATTTAGGGACAGCCTCCAAGCCATTCAGTCAGACATTTCCAACCGCTT